GAACTATTGGGGCAGTGGTTAGTTGATGCTTCATTCGGCTGCAGTGTTTGAGGATGATTGGGGTTTCGGGGACTGCGGGGTATGCATACATCATCAGACTCCTTCAGGATCACTCGGCGCTCGCTGTGGCCGATAACAACCCAGTTGATCTTGGCATCGCGGAGCTGCTCAACACTGATCTCACCGGTGAAAGCACCGTTGGGCTTGTCGTAAACGTTTTGGGCAGCGACACCAATCTTGGGGTCGGCCAGCTCGCGGGTCAGAGCGAGGTAGATGGCGGGAGGAGAGATGACGACCTCGGTGCTGTCGTCAAGCTTGGCGGAATTGAGGTTCTTCACGATTTCGGTGATGCTCTTAGCAACACCGTTCCTTTATAGGGTCAATTGCGCGAACGAGTAGGCATTGGTAAAATGTGAGGGGCTTGAGACCGCGGGGTAGCATAGCTTGAGACAACGTACATCTTGAAGTTACCACCGACGAAGAATTGGCGAGGCATATTGAAAGTTTATGAGGGGATGGAAAAGAGAAAGAAGAAGTTTCAGGAATGTTGATAGCTATGGAAGAAGAAGAAGACTTGGCCGGGAGAAGGGACTCTGGGAAAGTAAATCGGTTATGTAAACGATGAATTTCCCTTTCAAGTTAGTTTTGCTTCTCTGGGTTTAGCGCTCAATTACGTCATCCCTTAATGCCCCTCCAACATAGAAAGACCCCTCCACTCAGTACTTTACCATACCTACAACATACTGCGGCCCAACATGCCAGCAAAGCTAAACCCACAGTAAAGGCGAGGCTACTGTCTTCCTATGGCCCCAGGTTCACATCCCATCAATTGGCTCAACATTTAGTCAATCAGCCCTGTAATAATCTTCGTTGTCCCTGTTCTTTTCAATTTACCGATCTTACGATCGAATGAGCCCATCTTGTCAAAGCCACTTCCTTCGACCATGATGCGAGGAATTTCACAAGTCTATCGGAGGGTCTTGACTCTTGAGGTTACCCCCAATGCACTCAAGACCCTTAAGCTTACAACTAATGATGGTCAAGGTCAAAAGATTCAGACTCGATTTGTCTACTACTCAACTATCATATCTCTTATGCTCTCGATTCCTCGTTGAGCGGCTATCTAAATCTGCTCGTGATGTCTGCCATTATCGTCGATCTCAAACCAAGCACGATACAAGAGATAATGTTATTTCTTTGTGTGTCCACTCTCAAAGGAAGAGGCAAGCACTAAAGGATGAACAAGATACCAGCGCTGTTGATTTCGAGCCTATCAGTGATGATCAAGAGCGAGGGATTGAACAATCTTGGGCGATTTATACAAGTAGCAAGTAGGCAGCGCTTGGGAAAGACGCCAGAGTGTTATATGTAGCCAGTAATTTAGATGACAGGGCCATTTATATATGAAGTTTTTGGTCTGAACCTTTATGTCTTATTCTCATACTCGGAGAGCTGTAAGCAAGATACTTAAAAATTCGGCCTTAGTCTTCAGAATTACATATCACGAGTTTTATTTGTTTGCTCTAAGACCACAATGGTATCACGAGATGATATAGCCACTCCTAACGCCTTTTTCTATTCCTTTTATCGTTGTGGAACAGAAGACATACAAAAAAGACATCACGAGAGGATGTGAGCTATTGTGCAAGGTAAGTGACTCTAGACGTTCCTAGAATGGCAAATTTTTGGTCTATTGTCCAAGGAAAGCTCTCCTTGCAGTACGCAGTTGCTTGTCTCTTCCTGAAGTCTTCATGGAATAGTTGGCGGAGCGCTCCTCCTAGTACTATTGATTGGGTATAGACCCATTCTTACTAGAGTGTTTCCAACCTGTGACAGCTCCAACATTATCAATGCATGGAGTAGACATTTCGCAAACAACGATTTTAGAATTCCACTAACAAACTTGAAAGTAAATAACCGAAATTCCGGTTCAACGAGGGGCTACTGCCGTATAAACTAGGTAATTAAGTCGTCCTGAAGGCAGAGCTCCAGAAAAAGATGTAATAGATACTGCTCATTATTCAAACTCGAGTATATCTGTTCCTTGTTTTTCTTGGTCCTCCAAAAGGAGGACGCGAGATCTGCAGCTGCGATGTCGAGCGAAGCAAATTGATACTAGACACTCTGTACTATTCAGATAGTTATGCTCTTCCGACGGATAATATAAGATAGCTATGCTTGAGAAAGGTGTCTCAGTTCTCGCCTAAGAATTCTCCGAATTTGAATTCACTTCCTCCCAAGATCGGGGTCGTCTTTCTATGTCACCACACAGCAGTCAAGGAAAGTAGTCAGAATATTAGCCAAGGAAGATGTCAGTCATTGGATCTATAAATGTCACGTGATGTGATATTCAACCCGCGATGGGTCATAGTAAATTATACACACACAAACTGTAACATTGAGTTCAGCCAAGACATTGGTTATTTGCCAAGGTAATATAGTACGCCGAGAGTGCAGTGAACCCTGAGCTTCCTTCCCAGCAAGAGCCAACTCACGGATTAGGCAACATACAAATGTGGAGATAATTTCTGGAATCAAGCCTGGGGGTGTCTCAGAGTATTAGGAAACGCATGTGATATGAAGACTGGGTGTTGGTTGAGCACTTGTCTTTCTATTTAAGCGAGCTGCGCGCATATACAGTGGGACTTCTGAAGTGTTGGGAAGGATTTTGCATTATACGGAGTACTCCGTACTCCGTACCGCTATTTCAATTCTGCCAGTTCTGCCGGTCTATAACACATAACTAGTTAACCTATGGTAGTATTTTAACAAGTGGGCGGTATATATGGCGGTAACTATATAGGAGTACCGCCAAATACGGAGTACATACACTCACTGTATGGCAACGCCAGGGGCATTTGCCATTGCCAATATGCTACCAAATCCAGGAACTTTGTGTCGATCGCTTTCGATCTGCCATCTGCAGTTCCGATGCCATCCAGACTTTGCAAGCGGGAGATAGACCCTGTACCACCGGAAAAAAAACACAAATCTGATCCAGCGGGGCGAACCCATATATATGGGTCAAGGTACAGGTCAGGAACCCGTGTTCTTACAGCTGAAGCCCCATCGAAAGAGGAGTCCATTCCTCGGCATTGTTCGGCCACTGTGGAAGGTACGTGGCTGGATAACAAACCCAATCGGGCTTAGAAGATCCACATAGTAGATGGTGCGAGAAAGGATTTTGATTTTCAAAACAATAGTATAGGCAAGTGACAATGACACCGGAAATGCATTGAGTTATACTATATAATCTCAATTATGAGAAGAAAATGCAACCAAACATGCTGAGCGCAGGCTTGGTATCTCATGGCGCAATTACAAACCTAGATGAGCAGCGGAAGGTCTGGCAAATTGCCGAGCGTCCCAACGCACTCGTCGCAAATGTCGATCTGGGTCCTTGACTTCGTTCCGTGCGTGGAGCCAGCGTCCATTGTCCATCAAAATGATCGACCCACGCGGGAGATTCTTGGCTCTCAAGTTGAGTATTCGGGAATGGGCTGCTGGGCCCAACAGGACGGATTTCAGTTCAGCTAGCGCTTCAGATGCCTGATTTGTGAGCGGCACAACAATGTCCTCCCGGAAGCGGAGCTTGATGGCGTTCGTCTCGGGGCTAATTGCCAGCAGGCCACCGACGATCTGTGTATCTGCCTGACTTTTGACGAACTCGGGTGGGACAGTGATCTGAAAATTGGGGCTGAAGAGGGTCTCAAGGGTGGAAGGTGAGAGAAGTGTGAGCAATTCGTCGACATTCAAGACGGATAATGTACCGCCCCCACATCGATCTGGCTGAAGAACCTGGAGGGCGAAGTATTGCGGTGGAGAGCTCTCATAGCTGCAATCTGTGTGCCAAGGGAATTCTTCCATGGTCTCAGATCGAGCTTGAGTATTGTTGCTCTGGAAGCTTTCGGGGCTGGGCCGAATGTCCCACATCCAACCTCGATTTGCACTGTGTGTGATCGGTAGTCCATGGCCGTGGTGTTGGTGCAAATTCAATAATAGTTTGTGAAGGTAAGTGCTTTCGTCATCGGGGAAGCCGAGTTGGATTTGTAGAACGCCGGCACTCTGAAGGGTGTGATGGACAGTACGCAGGTGGTCATGTTGGGAAGCAGTGGCAGGATTCGAGACTGTGAGACGTGCTATAGGTCCAAAATGGCAATTTTCATTAGCAAATATGGGGAGAAGAGTGTGGACTCAAAGCTCACATATTCTAGGTACTTGAACGACTTGCTTCCTTGTCGTGGGGAGAGATCTCGTTAATCGTTGGATTGTAGCCATTATTAATGATGATAGGATGGAAGAAGGCGAGGACCAAGGGTACCAGAGTGTTTTATACATTGAATATATACCGACGATTGCTCATCCCTCGCACCTACTTCATCATGCTTGCTCGCGAGCCACCTCCACATTCCTGGAACAAAAATTGACCCACGACATTATACCAAGTACGGCTGAGCTAAAGTATGATTTCTCCATATGCAAGCAGATCTCACTGCTTTAGCGGCTGCGAGGAAATTGGATGCGTCGGAAAGAAGGTTTTCGTTTGCTAATGGTTTCTTCTCATGCCCATAATCAATCGTGAGGAGTGGATACTTGTTACGCCACTCCCTGCTTTACCTACGCTTCCTCAGTCAGCTGAACCAAGCTGACATTTATCGTATCGTGTATCATGTACCAATACGGTCATATGTGAGGTTGATATTTGACGATCCGGAATTGGCGGAGGCCGATGCACTGGCTGCACTCTCGGTGATTGCTCCGTAGATCTAGTCTATGCTACAGAGACATGGACCTTACACACATAGTCCACACCTAGTTATACGGGGTAAGCTAGTTACATGCAGCCCATCTAAGATCTTAGGCATGCCTGGTCATTTCTGAAAGTATCTTCATTGAACCAGAGTAACAAAAGGGCAAATCTTATAGCGTAAGATGAAATCAGACTAGATAGTGAGATGAGATGTCTCGAACAGTATTGGCCCCAGGGAAATCAGTCTTCGTCACTGTTGAATCACTGAACACATCCAGGCTCCCCCACGACTTAAAGCACAAATTCGACCGGGGCCGCTTCGCCAGAGTCCAAGGCCGAGGAATGCGCCATTGGTGATGTGAAAGGTTCCGACAAGAGGAAAGTTTCCAACTCCAGCGTCCTCTTCAAGCAGAACATCATATATCCGTTGTTGAATTTGCTTCTGAACAACATAGGTTGTTTTCCCAGATTTTAGGCGAGGATCTCGCATGCCCTGGAGAAGTGACATCCACTCCTCCTGTGTGACCTGATCACCAAATAAGATCCCCGCTCCCTTACCACTGCGAACTGGCTTAAGCAGATAGTTGTCCTTGGTAAAGACGTCTGTCTGGCACCTGGATATGAAATGCTCCAATTTGTCTGATCCGGGTATTATCGTGTGGACAAGTCCTTTATCAAGTATCCCTGCTTGGTGCGGCGAGAGTACGTTTCGTGCAACCAGTGAATCCAGTTCTTCTTGAACTAAGCCTAACATGCGCTTGTCATGAACGAGAAGCACAGTACGCAGGTCGTTGAAACATCTCAGGCTGATTTGCTGAAGCATTTCAAAGCTCATGGCAAGCAACTCTCGTTGATGCAGTTCCACACCTAGCTGATGCACTTCTTCTAAAGACTCGCCGGCATCATTCAATATTGTCGGCTGTTTGGTATTTTCCCCAGACAGACAGTATAATTTGTATCCACCGGGAGCTGCAGCGGGTATCAACCGGAGACTCTCGGGAGGAATGACTTTAACATCCATCCCCAGGCAACGCTGTGCATATGGGACGAACATGTGGATATCGTATCCGTACTCCTCCCCCTTGACTAGATGTAAGGGGAGTGAAGAATCAAAAAGGCTGTTCAAACCAGTAATGACCTGTACTGTATCAGTATCTATTATGTATAGGCACGCGAGGTTCTGACCTTTTGCGGGTCTGTGGCTCCCTTGATACCATATTGCTCGACACCCATATTCAGAAGGGCCTGTTGGCCAAATGCAGTAAAGAGGAATCCATTCCAACAAAACCGAGCGTTGATCTCACAGATTCGATAATTCTCGATCCGCTCGGGGTCATCCGACGATTCAAGCAGAAAATCGGGCCTCCAGGAGCCTTGACAGGATCTGAATGGACGAAGTACATGTGCATCCAGTTGTTGCATCCACTTAACCACTTTAGCAAGAATCAACAAAATTCCAAGGATTCAGACTCACTTGCAGCAGATTTTCCTCAACTGGTTCGACCGGCATCCGCTTTGGAAAGCGGGCCTCAACATCCGACCACCATCGTTCCACAATATCGGTAATTGCTAGAACCAATGCCTCGCTTAGCTCTGAAAGCTGACGTTGATGAGCTTCGTTGCCAAGCACTGGATAAGGCACCGATTTATGGTGGGCATCACCAGCCCACGTCTCCCGACGGCTACACTTCTCGAGCTCGAGATGATACTTCTCAAGTAGAGCGGATCGAGTCTCGGGGTCAATATCTGCTGGGTGAAAGAAATTTTCACCACTTTGGGGAAAGCAAATACTGCTAAAATGGTTCACTGGCTTCTTCATAGTTGCGCCCGCGGTGATGTAAAAGTTGTTCTAAATGGACATGATATTCTGGCGGCTGCATTTCTTAAGTGGCGGTCTTGATATAGGTATACCTCACTGGTGTTTTTGAGTCAAATACACCGGTATTGATACAACTAATGAATACTAGTACATACTAATGCATGAGGCGATCTGCATCCCTAGGGGTCTCCATCTGGTCCACATTTATAGGCACATTAGCGCGACGCTACTATTGAATAATGTACTCCACCTCCCGCCACCAGAACCCACTTTACCTATAGAATTGACTAATAAATACTTCCATATTGAGCTCATAAATGCTCAAGTTTGCTGATTGTAGCATGCACTGTGCTCATACCTGAAGTTTGCGTCTTATCTGAAGATGACGAACTGCTTCGACTTGGGCGATATTCTGGCCATTGCCAGTATCCACCCGTTTTATTCTGACACTCCATATCCAACGAAAAGTGAAGATTTACCTATTCTGCTAGCAAAGCAAAAAGAGTCAGCAACAGACTTCAAGCTATCAGCATTCCCATTGACCCGGAAAGAAGCTCTGTAAGCTTTCCCGCTTTCATTTCTTTCCTGCATAGCTAAAAGTGCTAGATACAAGGAGATCGCTCGCCTTACCACTGACAAAGACCCTCGAAATGGATATCGACAAGGAACTTACATCAGCACGACTGGTGGAGGATCTGGTGGAGGGCCTCCAATGGTCTTTGCGACGGATTCGCGAGAGATCCGTCAACAACGAGCAGCCATTGGATCTCTCTTGCGATCTTGTGGGATCACAGGACCAGGAGACTGGATCATGACAATGCACGTGTCGGGACATCTTTACAGGTAATTTTTGACTTGTATTCATTCAATTGGGGAAAAACTGATCTAACTTTTGCAGGGCTTTGGACCTTATTTCCGAGGTGCTCGAGGGGTCTGGCGCCACGGTTCTTTGTGCTGGCAGCCAGATGGAGCAAGACCAGATGATCGAGACACTCATTGGATATCGAGTAAATGCCATTTCCGGTGACGCAGGACAAATCATTCAGCTAGCGCGATACATCTCTACCCTCTCAGAGGACAAGAGAAGGCAACTGCTGATAAACAAGGCGCTGTATACCTCAGAGCCAATGACCCCGGCCCAGCGCAGCTTTTTGAACTCTGTCTTTCCCAATATAGCTGTCTCGTCGGTAATTGGTAGTGCGGAAGCTGGGCCTTGGGCCGCTTCGCCAGCCGAGCTGACAGAGACCACGAAGGAGCAACACTTCGCCGATTTTGTGTATGACCAGCGTCTGATGCATCTTGAGGTATTCCCTTTTGCTGTGGAGGACCCTCAAGACCCATGCAATGTCGATGTTCGGCCTCTTCCTGATGGCGAGAAAGGGCTGCTTGTGCAAACCTCGCTGCAGAGACTGCGTCATCCTCTCATCCGCTATGTCTGTGGTGATGTTTGCTCGCTCCACTCCTTGCCAGAGTTGATCAAAGCCAAAATCTCACCGGAAGATGCACCTCACTACAAAGTCGCGCGGATTTATGGACGCGACCGAAGAATCAGCTTTGATTGGTACGGCGAGTACTTCGAATTCCCAGTTGTCCAGGCTGCACTACGAACCGAGTCATGGGGTATTTTGCAGTATCAGATCATCCGGAGGTATAATGAAAGAGATAAGCACCATCTCGACATTGTTCTTGAGCTGCGTGTGCTTCGGCACGATGAGCCAGGCACGATTGGCGAAGAAGAACTGACACAGGAGTTACGAAAATTCTTCAACGTTTTTGGGAACAACGAAGAGCTCTTCGATTTGAAATACCTATGTGATTATTCGGGATTCATCAGAAGCACTACGGGACGGAAAGTGATTAATTTCATCGACAAGACACAAGACTAGATTAGCTGAAGCTGTCAGGTCGAGATGGGCAGATGATGCCTGCTCTTTCGTCTTACTTGGAGCTCTTTAGAATGTTAAAGTGATCGATATTCGATGATCTACAATTGTCACGCATGTACCAAGTACTATCTTCTGAACACTGGGACATTCATAGCCTTGTTTTCAAAGGAAAAAAGAATAGAATCATCTACTTTAGTACGAGTTGGATGAGACATGGACCAATAGGTATGAGCAAAAAGCAAAACCCTCAGGTCTCCACAGTTCTATAAGTCATTTCAATTTCACCCTCGATCTTATGTGGAGACTGCAGACCCGGTCAGTCCGATTCGTAGTCTATAAGACTGGGCAATACTAGTCTGATACGGCTGCACTATCCCTGCATTATCGTCGCATGAATTGCCCCCAGCTGAGGATCAGCGATCCTGCAGGTCAAACCTTGCTTTTGTAGCGATGATGATATTCCTATAGCATTTTCATGGCATTGAACTTTACTACTCACAACTCAAGTCGACATGAGGGATGTCCATGCCAGTAGTAAGCCTATAGGCTTCCGTTGGCGCTCTTCTAAATGGTTTATTCTCTCGACAGTCGCAATTGCCTTGTTCGCCGGTTCGTGTACCCTGTGCCCTCTTGTTGAGCCAGTGGCTGACAGTGCATAGAAACATTCCTCTATGGCTTCCTTGTGCCTATGTTACCGTACATGCTTCGTACGCGACTACATGAGAATCAATCCAGGATCCAGGAACTCACGTCACTTGTTCTCGCCGTGCATGGAATCGTCTCGGTTGTTTCAGGTCCCATCATCGGCCACTTCGCTGATAAAACCTCGAATCGAAAGCTCCCACTACTACTATCGCTTGTCGCGTGTATGATCGGTACTGGCATGGTCGCTGGCTCAACCTCGCTTGCTGTTCTCTTCGTCGGTCGTGTGATGCAGGGCATTGCCGGATCCTCCGTATGGATTGTTGGCCTCGCGACCGTGGCTGATACCGTGGGTGGAGATAATATGGGCAAGGTTGAGGGCTTAATGATGTCCTTCATATATACTGGATTAATAGGCGGGCCATCCATTTCTGGTTTGCTCTTGGAACTTGTAGGCTATTGGCCGACGTGGTCATTGCCGCTCTTGCTTCTCACTGTAGATTTTGGCGCGCGTTTTATCATGATCGAAAGCCGATCAGTGGAGAATTCTAATTGCAAGCGAGAATCGACAGGATCAGAAACGCATGACACTACCAGCCCGTTACTCGCTCCCGAGAACGCCCAAACTCCATCCACCGCAGGGAACTTCTGGCATATTATTCTCACTGATGTTCGAGCGCTGACTGCATTGTTCGTTGCCGTGTCGACAACAACGGTTGGCACGAGCTTCCATGCTACCCTTCCCATTCATGTGCAAGAAACATTCGGCTGGGGCCCCGGAAAAAGCGGGTTCTTGTTCTCTTGTCTCATTATGCCAACTCTGTTTATCAGTCCATTGGCTGGGTGGTTGCGTGATCGCTTCGGAGTCCGGTATCCTGCTATGGCTTCTGCGGGTTTTCAAGCGGTGATTCTTGGGCTATTGGGCCTAGCCGGTACCAACATTCTCCCTTGGACCGGTACTCAGGCCGGAGGTGGAGCGTTGTATACAGGCTGCATTCTCGCCATTGGTGCAGCGCGACCTTTTACCACGAATGTGGGCCCCGTCGAACTTTCCGGTGAGTGCTGCCTTATCCCGACTTTAGTATTTGCTATTGACTCTTGACAGCCATTGTGAGAGCTTATCAAGAGGATTCACCTGGTATCTTCGGACCTGAAGGGGGCATGTCGCGTGTTTTCTCTCTTGATGATGTTGCTGCATCGCTTGGGACAGTTCTGGGACCAATCATCGGTGGATCCCTCAAGGAACACTTCGGTTATACTTGTATGAGCTTGACTTGGAGTAAGTCATCCCTTCCAACACAAGTGGTGCATTTCTAATTCGACTTAGGCGTTTTGTACATTATCCTTGCTATTCTTGTAATGTGCTTCCTAGGCAGAAACAACCGCTAGATCTGCAATTGAGCAACGCAGCAAGAGGTATGGAGTTACGACTTGATAGGCAGCACAGGGGGACTATCTCAATGTGGGTCTGTGCCAGGATGAGCACTAAATAGGAAGGGTGTATCGTTTAGTAAACCTGACTGATCAAATTTTGTTTATATAAATCTGACTATTCCAAACTAATGATGCAATTAAAAACAGTTCTTCTCATGGTAGGAAAAAAAAGCAGTAGCCATATCAAATTAGTATGCAAAATAAAATAATATATCTGTCATACATCCTCCTTGATCGCGCACCGACAGGTACAGCGGCACACTGTTGGCAGATCTGTCACCGGTTGAGGACGCTCAAGCTGACGCGCTTCAGAAAAGGCTCTCTTCAGCCACTGCTCCCGATGTCCAAGACATGCTTCACGGTGATCAAGCATTCGGCTTCGAATCTCATTGTCGTTCATCACCTGCATTCGATATCTTCTACTAGGCACCGAGCCTGACCAAACCCTTTCAGCCCATCGTGGGCCAAGAATCTTGACTGGAGACACCTCAAACTGATCGCGGAGATAATTCCTGCCATGCCTTCTTTCAAGGCTCCCGCTGCATCCTTGTGACTTTCGCCGAAAATGAAGTCCATGACTCGGCTCGCGTCGATAAGGACTGGCATTCTGTTTTTGGACAAAGACCTGATTTGGTCGCGGTTCTTGACACTCAGTCTCGGTCCCGGTCTCGGTCTCGGTCTCCATTCTTTCTCGGTCGTCTGTTGCAGATGTTTCATCGGATTGGTCAGAAAGCATAGATGCATCATCTGGGTCGCTATTACTTTCTGATGAACAATCTAAAGTATCTTCAAGACTCATGCCGCTGCTGTTTATGGCATTGATCTTCCCATTTTGATCTGGCGTCAGAGAAATGTCCCTGTGACGAGAGCACATAAATGAACTCTTTGTATCCGGCCGGAAGGTTTTCCTAGTAGCCACTGGACCACCCATGGAGGTTCTGGAATGTACTTGGGTCTTCATCGGTCTTTGCATGATGATGACATCCATAGATACAGTCTCATAGTAAGCGCAACGAGAATTTCCGGCCTCGAACATCTGCGTGTGTTCTTTGACGTAGACGCAACTCCACTCAACGAGTGGATTGTTATGCCTTTGTTCGGCAATCAGTTGATTCACATGAGCGCGCCTGATATCAGAGGATATGCTCTGGTATTGCTGCGCTACAGACTGTTGATTTGCTCCCTCATGAACCATTTTGAAGTATTCGTCTTGATTCCGATGCATGTCTGTCCGTTTCGCACAGATCCATGTGGAACTTTGTTCGAGCATAGCCTTGGAAAATGTGAAGCCCTCGTAAACACGACTTGCTGAATCGGAGGCCGAACATTTCTGGTCATATCGCAAATGGCCGACCGGAAACGATGGGTTTGTGTTTGGGGTGTCCTTTGAGGTTTGCATCGAATTGTTGTTGGTAAGGCCAGAGGGTTGAATGATTGTCTTTGTTTCTTCCTTTGAAGTGAAAGTTGGCTGTTTGAAGAAATCTGACTCTTTGAGGAGAATATAGACACCTATTTATGTATCTTGTTTGCTCGTATACTTGACTTTTCTCTTTCCCGATTCTCGTTTCTTGCCCGGGCGCAGAGGCTCAAAACAAGGCAACTTCAGCCTCATGACTATCCCAAGTCGCCCGGGTGAATATTATCTGGATACGAACATCATCTGAGAAATATAAGATTTTAGTGGCTTAATTTTGTTACAGGTGACCTCCTTGTTTATTGTTCTAAAAAGGAACTCTTTGATATTCATAAGAATTGTTTCGAAGGATTCCTTTCATTTGTCTATTCTGAGAACAATACATTGAACATTCTTTGGGAGTTTTATATAAACGACCTACTTTGCTCCTTGGACTTCCCTCACTGCACTCATCACTTTTGTCTATTTGACTAATTTAATCAACTGCCATGACTGAACAGATGGGCGTTAATGAACAGGATCCTTACGCTTTTGATTATATCTTAGGGAGAGACTTGGGCGCAATCAAGGGGAATCATACTTTACACCATCCATCGTCGCAGGCCCGCGAATTCAAATACCAGTACTACGATGATAGCTTCTCTTGCAATGCCGAAAGACTTTTAGACCCCTCAAGCCGATTGTCCGAAAGGTATCCCCAAGTAAGTCAGGTTCTTCGAGAGCGTCTAGGGGTAGCGTTTGGCAAACGGAATAACGAGGAATTCTCGAGGTGTAATTGCCGGGACGATTCAGGTCATAGGTGCGACAGCGAAGAGTTTCAAAAATGCAACTCCACTTCATATGGGGATTTCATCCGTTTAAGTGCTGAGGGGCGGACGACTGCGAAAGCAGTATGCCTTTGTCCGCACCTTATCGAGCGAGTGCAGATATATGGGTTCATAGGCGCAGGAAGTAAGTCCATCCTCCCCTTGATGTGATGTCTTTTTCATGGATATACTGCTAACTGATCACAGCATTTGGTGCCACATTTATTGCTCGCGAGAAAGGCGCTGCTGGTGCTTCCCTGGAGGACCTTCAACAATTCGCAATCAAATCTCAAATCCACACAACACAATGGATGGACACATTATCGGGTGTGAATGCTCAGATGGGACCCTTCTATGAGGCTAGTGGGGAGAAAAGATATATGCCAGAAGAAGCACTTCTTCTGATCTATCTCGACGATAGTCCAAGGTTCCCGCGGCTCAACTCGGTCTACACTCACGGTATGCTAACAGCAATTCTCATGACCCCCTGCGTTGATCCTAGCTATGAAGCCATTTCAGTTATTGATGAGGGTCATTTCAACAGGATCAAGTCAAAGGGGGCCATACCACCGCGCATCCGAAAGAGATACCCCCCGTTTCCATCTTTTGATGGCAGCTATCTTATGTCCGCAGCCACCAAAGAACCTCAACTGGGGGAAATAGAAGGTTGCAAGGTTGCTTCTCAGCTTCTCCAAGCTATGATAGAATTAGCAGATATGAAGGTCTGCCATGCTGATATCTCAGTGACGAATTACCTAATGGACCAAAACCTCAACGTTCAACTAATCGATCTTGGAATGCTCTACTTCTCGCTTGAGAAATCAGGTTTTGCAATGAAAATAGACCACTTTATTCCCTACCAAGAGTACCAAATGATGCCCGAGCGAGCCATCGAACTGGAGAAGTACGACATTTGGAGGGATCCATCCCACGATGATGTCTCTATCGAAAGTATCTACTTACCTGTTGACCAGCGGGACATTTGCCTGTGGAAATATTCAACGCTGGTTTACGGGTTTCTGCATGGCTTCTGGGCCTGGGATGAGCCTAAACCAGTGCCGAGGAGTTTGAACTGGCACGCTAGGTATGATGGCTCTTACAATGACCTGTTCTATCCAGTAGTCAAACGCAGACGCAAGAGAATGATCAACGAGGATGTAGCAATTAGCGAATCACTCTCACAGGACTGCAGGGATGTACTGCAAGCCACATTGGCTAGAGATAAATTTGACCGGCCGTCGTTGGAAGAGCTATCGTCATTTCCTTGGTTTTCTCGCTGGTCTGCTGAAGAACTCGAGTCTGGTCGACCTTCGAAAAGACCCTTTATCAAGAAATTCCATGATAAAACCCGTGCAGATGGTCGAAGGGGTTTTCCATGGCCAAGTATATCACAGGATCAAGGTATATCAATCCCCATCCTCAACAGCCCGAGATATAATTCCTCTGGTTCTTCTAGCGCATCTGATGATTGTGAATATGAGTAAGTTCCCCCTCCTGAAGAGGCACCATCCTAAAGCTTCCAATCTTATATCTCGGGAATGGTGTTTCAATCACAAGCGGAGTATTAGATCTGGGAGTCGAATTGAGTTTGATAGCGATCTGCTGTCCTATTACTCGTACCATAGAAAATAGAAAACAGTCACCATTTTGTTCAACAGTATGTAGCCAAAATGCGATTTTATGTATAAATATCTAGTTCACGGCTAGGCACCCTTGACCTATTGAGAGAAATGTGAAGAGGTTGAAAGGAAATGGATTGGTATTTAGAATATCTTCCAAGGTATGCTAATAATAACAGCAAGGCAAGTAATCTCAATTAGGGCTCAAAACAGCAGGTCGCATTATCACCTCCGTCATCAATGGCATATAAGAGAGAAGAGTCGTAATCATCGCCGAAGGCTGTCCAGTCTTGCTTGGAGGTCATCATCACTAGTATTGCCTCCCCCTCCAATAGCCTGCGCAACTCGAGTTTCATTCACTGGTGCTTTCTGTATGTGTTGGGGTGTTTCGCCAAGCTGTAGATGGAATATGTTAGCCTGCTGGGTCCACTTTCCAATGTTTGGGGCAACAAACCGCCTGGTTCAGATCGACACCAATCTCGTCCAAAACCTCCTTCAAGATATCTTCTCCTTCCTCTTCTTCGCCTTCCATTCCTGTGGCCTCGTCGATCGCATCATCCATCATCTCTTGCCGTTGGTCCATAACATCGTTTTCTCGTTCAAATTCCATCGCGATCCGTTGCAGTGCGGGGAGATTCATCTGTCTGTTCATACTACCCAGAAGCATTGTGGCTCCTTTCATCGACTGCATCATCTGTTCGTTGCTTCGGACAGTCTAGGAAGCAGCAAGAGTCAGCGCATCGCGGAACCAAGAGGGATAGCGGAGGAAAGCTTGCGCATACCTGAATGCGTAGAGAAATAGCCTGTAATTGCGTGCGCATTTGATAGAACTTCTGAATATATCTGTTGTCGCAGTCAGTCAATGCTGCTTTGATCAGTAAACAATAAAGAGAAACCGACCTCCGTGTCCGAACCAGATCCTTGGCCTGGATCTTGCAGGCACCAACTTGACCATTTTTGGCACTCTTCTTGATGTCCTGTACCAGTTTCTTCTCTTGGTTCTCTAGTTTCACTCGCTCTCGGTCAAGTTCCCGCTGTGTTCGGTCCAAGGCACGCTGGTGTTTACGCAGACGCTCTGCGGGGGTCATGCGCTTTCCGAAAGCCCACTCGACAATCTAGGAGACCTAATGTGAGTGAATATCCATGTTTAAGCATTCAATATGCAGCTTACATTCATGATTGCAGGGGATTATGGGCAGTCGGTTCGAGGTAAGAAGTAAATCCAGGTACAATATGGGAGCCTGAGTAGAGATAGTGACATCAATCGCGGTATGGTAATATTACAGGCGCATTACTATGATACCGGGTCACATGCACGCTAATCCGTTTTTGGCCCGACGTCATCTGAAACCTTCCGACAAATCGATCATCTCATAATCAAACCACCAAAAACACAACTTCTCTTGTATGGATGTCGCCCCCACGTTGAGGTCTTTCATTCGTCATGAGTCAGGAATATCACCCTGGTGAAGGCCCGTCTTCCGGGGCGGGCTCGTCCAGGTTCTCAGGAGAGGAAGAATTTCCTCAGAAGAATCCTTTTTTCCGTCCCCCACCGACTTATATGACTGTGGGCAACGGTTCGACTTCGGACAGTGCCACAGCCCTGATGACTTCGCTCAATCAAGATTCTGGCTATGGAGGCAGTATTGCTGATACGGAGGAGGATGCGAACTCTGCTTGGCGTGCAGGATTGATGGAGGATAGGCCGACTCCGGTGCATACTCCAACGCGCCCTGGAGAATGGAATCCCGCAGGTAAGTGGCCACGGACATGGAATGGTGTGATATAAAGGGAAGATAATTGAGCTAATTCATCTTGGGATATAGCTGAGCATGAGAAGCAAGTGGTTGCCAGTCATGTCTCTCAACTTCTCTAGTATGTCTCCCCTCCCCGTAAACAAATCATTCATGCAAGTCCAAGGCTTACAGTATTTTCCAGCAACTCAAACCGAACCAAGCTTGCTCGTGCGATATCCCGGACCATCGACACACTGAAGGAGCTTCAGGAAATGAACCGCCAATGGCCCGCCCACTATCCCTCCGTGGGGAGCACACCCTCTTCCCCCATGGTCCGACCGTCACTACATCAAACTCAATCCGAATTTGGAGGCAATGATAACATACTCAGCACCCCGCCCCTGAGGCGTGCAGCCACCTTGGCAGTTAGCGACGAATTAGGAGAATCAAGTGCCTCGGTCCAACGTCGTGTGCCGACAGAGCCCAGATTGATGACCCCGCAGATTGCGCAAGAGTTCTCTATTCTCAAATTGGATCTTAAGCTCGGCGCTCTTTCGCAGGCAGAGCTAGTACATTCCTTAGAAAAGGCATCGGTTGCCGCCCTGTTGGATGGAAAAATCAGCCAAAGCATGAAGCATCTCCTTTCGCTGCGAGATAGAATTGAGGACACTTCAAGTAAGGTCCTGATTACAGGAGACTTGAACGCAGGCAAATCGACATTCTGCAATGCTCTACTGCGCCGAAAGGTGTTGCCAGAGGACCAACAGCCTTGCACCAGCATCTTCTGTGAGGTTCTCGATGCTCGCGAAAATTGCAGCGTTGAAGAAGTCCACGCCGTTCATAAAGATACGCCATACAACCGCAATGACGAAAGTACCTTCGATGTCTATGCTCTCACCGAACTCGAAAATATCGTCATCGAAAACACGAAGTACATGCAGTGCAAAGTCTACGTCAGGGATGTACGGTCTATTGACGAATCATTGCTGAACAACGGCGTGGTTGACATCGCTTTGATCGATGCACCCGGATTAAACTCGGACTCGTTGAAAACCACGGCTGTCTTTGCTCGACAGGAGGAGATCGACGTCGTTGTGTTTGTGGTTTCCGCCGCAAATCACTTCACATTGTCTGCAAAAGAATTCATCTTGAATGCGGCACATGAGAAGGCATATATTTTCATGGTAGTCAACGGATTCGACCAAATTCGCGACAAGAAACGCTGCGAACGCATGATCTTAGATCAGATCGGCAAACTCAGCCCTCGCACATACAAGGAGGCTGCTGAGCTAGTTCATTTCGTTTCGAGCAATGCTATACCTGTTGCACCTTCAGCCTTCTCGCAGTCTGGCTCCGGTGGTGGTGACGGCGGTGGCTCTGATCCTCATGATGACGACGCCGATAAGGACTCCAAAGATAAGGGCAAGGGCAAAGAACGGGAGAAACTCCAAGACTTCGAGAACCTTGAAGGAGCCTTGCGACGTTTCGTCCTTGAAAAGCGCTCTCGGTCCAAGCTTGCGCCTGCCAAAACGTATCTCCTGAATCTCTTAGCTGACATTGGCTCTCTTGCCACAGTCAACCGCGATGTTGCTCAGTCGGAGCTCAAGCGAGTGACCGATGAATTGGCGGAGCTTGTACCGGCATTCGAGAACGGCAAGAAAAAGAAGGGAGAGATTGCAGAGGGTGTCAACAAGGCTATCGACGATTCATGCGATGATGTCTACAATCACACTCGTTCGACATTGACTAACACAATCACACGTGTTTCTGATGCAGACCTCGGTGTTGAATATCCTGGTCTTTTTTCAGCGTTCCAGTACGCTGAGGAACTGAAGCTGGCAATGCTGGATGAGATTGCTTCGTCTGTCAACAACTGCGAGGACTATGCCCGGGAAAAGACAGTTCAAGGAGTCGGTTTCATCCAAAATATCGGTCTTCTGCATATTGGTGAAGACAAATTTACCCCACTCAACTTCCGCGCGGATGCGATGTTCCGCCGTGGCCGTCGCCACACATTTGGCCGACAGGTCGACACTGAAGTTGAGCTGTGGGATTTCTTCGATTTTGCTGGTCTCTGGGAGCGCCAAGAGAAGATGGCAGGAACAGGCGTTGCAATGACTGCAGTCACTGTACTTGGTGGTAGGGCATTGGGCGGATTCGGTTGGGTGGATAGTGCCTTGAGTGCTGTCAAAGTCATTGGCCCGAACAACATGCGCCGGCTGTTCTTCCCTAGTCTCCTCGCTGCTGGTGAGTTTTGCCTATTCGTTTTCACAAAGAACAATCATATACTAACTTCATACAAGCTGTT